GGTTAAACCTATGAGCAAAATTTTAAATAAAATGGTTTTATCAAAGTGCTGTCCAATTGTGTGTCGGACATGTGATCTAGTCACCAATACTATTTTTATTGTGCAATTATTGGCGATCACTTACTTTTTATGGAAAGGATCTTAGTCCGAAATTTTGAATTTTTTAAATATATATATTTTTATATAAAATAAAAATTTTGTGTTGTAACTTTTAAGGTCAGGTGATCATTTCGACGTTTGTAGATGACTTGGTATATTAATATGAAAAAGTTATTTTGTTACGTTGCTTTTACTTAAGTGTATAGTTACCATTATCGTAGAACAATTTAAAAAAAATATTAATATATTTGATTCAATTCATTTACAACTAAAGTGCGGATCATATATACTCTGATCCACACGTTGGATTTGGAAAAACCATCATCATTCAATTCAGCAGCTTTAAAAAAAGGAGTCAATTCACTTGTCTCGATTTCTTTTTTAAAGTTTCAATGTTGAAAATTCAGTGCGAGGAGATGTAACATTACACACCAATCAAAATTTAAATTTTTGGAGATAGTTTCTGACTTTGTACTAGTTACACAATGACACTGAATTTCCGTGTTATCTTTATTTTATTGTATGGGAAAAAAAAATTTTGTTACATGCTAACAAAATTGGAATTTTTAAAACGCCAAGCCGGTCCAATCAAAGCAGTATTTTTTATAATGTTTCGCTTATTTGTAGCACACACCAAATTTGGTCCATAACAATTTACTTACGTAATTGGAAATTTAAATTGGTGCAGGTGCATCTATAATCAATTAATTGCGTTCAAAAAATTTTTATCTTTTTAAAAAGTTAACCAATTGTTCATGACTCAATTTACCGGCATGTATAAAAAAATTGCCAATCCAAATATTTAGATGGTCAGGCCATTATGAAGAAAAGGCACGGTATGTATTTGGGCGTTTGTTTAATCAATAAGTTATTATTATGGCACATTGTCAATACATGTTGTTATAACTAATATAACTGAGTGATTGAAAACTGTAATCTTTATATATAATTCATAAAAAAGAATTTGATTTTTTTTCATAAATATCAAATTTGGCATAAAATCACAAATTTTACATAATACATAACTTTATATATAACTTATATAATCTATACTATTTACAAAACCTTTTTAGCGCATATCCTAGATACAACCAAATACGGTTTATAATCAGGATCATTCAATTCAGCAACAATTGATTCGTATTCTTTATTACCTATTCCATCAATAGCCAATGATTTAATCGAGTTAAGTATTATTTCGCCACCCTTTTTTTTGATTTTGTTTTGTAGAAAATTTTTTAGAATATGAATTATAGTAATATTTAATAATGATGATGATGATAATTTTGTGAATAAATACCATTCGTCCAAGTGCACTATCATTACTATTTAATGGCATTTGTTTACTTGTTGAAACAATATCATCAATAAGATTGGCTTTGTCTATAATATTTGGCAATCTTTTATTTATATTGTAATCAATTCCTCTTGAAGCTATTTTGGATTTTACTTTAGAAATTACAAAAAAAAAAAAACAAAAAAATTTTAATTCCTCCATTCCCTAATAATTTTAGAAATTAAAACAAAATGTCACTTACTTTTCTGCTCAAGTAATTTGATTAAAGGACCAGATTGATAAATTTCACAATCAAATTCAATTATCTTTGAAAAATAAAATAATAATAATTATTTATTTATTTTAGAATGATTATAAACAGGTTATAAATAGATTTGCTTAACTTCTATCAATCCCCCTGGCTTAGTAACTCGTATAATCTCTTCAATAACTTCAATCCATTGCTCTTCTCTATACGCCAACATCAAATTCCTTTGATGAACATAATCAAATGTATCATCAGGAAATGGTATACCATTGAGAACGTCCTCTTTCAAGAATCCGACATTTTGTGGTCTATTTTTTGGAAACATTGGAAAAAAATCCACTCCTATGAAAATTGACATTGGATAATCATGTGCCATATCTAATATCCAGCAGCCTTGTCCACATCCTATATCTAGTACTGTCGCATTACCTAATTCCAACACTTCTTTTACAGGCGCAGAAAAATTATTGCCCCAAAATATTTTGAAAGATTTATGAATGTATTCCATTTTTTTTAGTTCATATTCATTGTTTATGATTGGATATGGTGAACTCGGAACATCATTATAATCTTGAGATTCGATTATCTTGTAAACGCTTAAGCGTTTTTTTGATTTTGGTTTTTTATTAAAATGCAGTATAAGTTTATTTTGTCGTTGAGTTTTTTTTAATGGTTTGGAACTAAAGGCGCCCATTATTGAAAAACGAAACATAAATTGAAAATAATGTGAAATTTTTTGATTTTTTAAAAAATTTTATATACATCATACCTCTTTTATATCCCTTTGTTTCCATGTTACCAAGTATGTAGAATTAATATAAAAAAGGAAACCTGATAAAAGATATGACTGCATTGAGATATATTCCATAAAAGATGAATTATTATTATGTAATATAAGTTTATTTTAAATTGAAAACACAATGTGTGCAAGTTTTTCGTGGGGAAAATCGAAATGATTGTATCAATTTTAATATTAATTCAATGTCACCCAAAATTTGTGAAAAAATTTTAAGAGAAGCTAAAAATCTTTTTATGGATGGATCGGCGTTACACACATTTAATTCGTGATTCGTGAAAGTATGTATGGCACGTCATGCTGGCAAAAGTGTACTGCAACAAATGTAGTACAACATTGGCGTGTCATAGTATGTGCGCGGTATCTAGACATCAATTGCTGCGCCTCTTTTCGAAAATTTTAATCCTGATTAAGAAATCATTCAGATAAAATATTTAATTTCAATAGAGACAAAGCAAAATGCCACCAGTAAAAGTCATTTAAAAATATAAAAAGGACAATAATGATACTAATAAACAATGTTAGTATGACATTACAATCATTTATTAATCTAATGATCTATTTTTATATCATAAACCAGTTAGTTGTTGAATGATTAAGCTGATAAAAATTGTCTATGTTTGTTTTCTGATTGGTCAAATTAGTTTGACCAGCGTGCCGAAATTTTTTAACTATTACTATGGTGCCAATCATCTAAACACATCAAATGCTGCGCCAACTGATGAAGTTTTTCTATATATGAAAATCATTCCTTTTATGGGACTAATTTTAACAATTTTTTAATTCGAATCTATTTCTTTCTTTTTTTTTTAAAAATGCTTAAAACAGAATAAAAGAAATCAACATTTACAAAAAGCTTGTGAAACTAAAAAAATGAAAGAAACTATTAAACCCATTACAGATGAATATATTGACAAGGAGGTGTTTGAAAATGAATCTCAGATTGACACAAACATTTTGAATGAATTAGATGTAAATGAACCTGGATTAGAAATCGAAAAGTTGATCTATCAATACATTGAATCTGATGATGACTGGAGAGATTTATCTTTAACTACAGAATTAGAATCTTGGGAAGGTTTACAACAAACTGTGTCATTGGCTCTTAATCCTATTTCTCTCTGTAAAATTGTAAATTTGCAAGAAGATATTATAGGCTATGAGTGCCTATAAGATGGGGCTTTCTGGTAAAGCTGCTATTTTTGCATTTAAAAAGTATCACTCTCATAGAAGAATTCCCGAATCTGTTTTAGTGGAATTTCACAAGGCACAACTATCACGTGACACTTCTTTATATCATGAAAATATTCTTTAAATAGAGTAATGATCAGTGGTGAAAATTTTTTTTTAATAGTAAAAATGACAAACTTTAAACCATCATAACTCTCTTCATTTTAATAAAATTTAAAAAAACTCTATTGCATCTTTCCTTATGTCTTATAGAATAAAACTATAGAGAGTTTTTTTATCTTGCATGGTCATTGAGCTTATACATTTTAAAGTTTAGCCAAAATTTTTGATGTCTTTAGATGACCAGCACCATACAGTCAGAGAATATGCTAAATTTGGTATTTCCTAATTTATAAATGATAAATGTTCTGGAATTTCTTTAAAAGAAAATTTGATTGGCTAAATTTATGCAGGTCCTTTTGTTGAATAATCTTTAAAGAAAACAAGAAAGCCATGATGAGAGTTTTATTGACCGTTCATATAACTTCCAAATTATAGGACTAAGCAATATAAGATGACATTTTTGTAATTTAACATATAGTATATTATCCTGATAGATAATTTTAAATATATACTAGGTGTAATCCATCACTTTGCTGACAGATTACATCTAAGTGTAAATTTTATTGTGATACATTTGCACTATTACACAATTTAAAAAAATTTACATGTGGTAGTCTAAATGTAACCCAATGATACAATAATAGATAGATTGCATATGGTAGTCTAAAACGTTACACATCACAATATATTTACTTGTGTGTATGTGATAGTCTAAATGTAACCCAACAATACAATAATAGATAGATTGTAACACACTTTTGCATTATTGCACAATTCAAAAATCATTATTTATGTGTGGCAGCCTAAACATTACATTTATTTATGCATGTGCATTATTCTAAACCTTACACTCACATGAACCCAATGTTTTTAATATAATATACTAGGTGTAACCTGTTAGCTTTGCTGATGGTTTACATCTAGAACATGCTATAAATAAACTTGTCATTTTTTTTATATTCAAATTTATTTAATACTGTAAATTCATAACATTAATAAGTTTGGTTGCATTTATTATAATATAGTTGTAACCTATCACTTTGCTGATGGGATACAATCAGCTGATTTTAATTTTGTCTTATTATAGAGCCCAACTATATATATATAATATCATGTGACCTGATCCAAAGACCAACCACCCCACCCCTCTAAAATCAGCTAATTTCTGTCACACATTTATTTAGTTATTACACTAATCAATGAGTAGAACAGGTTTTTATTCTGTTGCATTTATAATAACTTCTCAGATATATATATATAACAGATTATTATTACAATTTAAAAATTATTATAGAGCCCAACTATATATATAAAATACCATGTGACCTGATCCAAAGAACAGATTTTTATTACACAATTTAAAAATTTTTTAAAAATGTGGTAGTCTAAAATGTTATGCATCACAACATATTTATTTGTGTGCTTGTGGTAGTTTAAATGTAACCCAATGACACAATAATAGTTATCCTCTGCGTAACATCATTTATGCAATTATCCATTTATACTTATACTGTACCTACTGAAGATCGTTTACTATTAATTCGTGATACGTGATAGCAGTGTTGTGCAATTGGAACATTGTAATGCTATTGGAATGTTCCAATGTAGGTCTTCAATTGATATTGACCAATAAAATTCGTGTGTGTGACACTGTAATTGAAATTTCATTGGTTAACTTCATTGGAACCACATTTGGAATGTTCCAATTCCAATTGGAATTTATTAGAATGCTCCAATGAAATTTTATTGAAGGCATAAATGGCACAACACTGCATGATAGAAGTAGATGATTGGCATATTTTTTAATAAAAAATGGGGTTATTATATATTAATAAAAAGTCTCATTTTCTGAATCCAGACACATCCATATAATTCTTTATTATTCTTTCATATCTCAAATTTTATTTTTTTATATCAAGCATACTTTTATATCAAATCAACTTTATAGCTAGCTGCATTAATATATTAAAAATTTTTTTTTGTACATATTGTATAAATATAAAATTTCTATTTAAATGTCTAAACATAAAGAAGTTTCACCAACACTTGCATCTCAAGGAATAATTGACTTTAATTTACACTATGGACCTTTTGCTCATCACTGGTGAGCATGAAATTTCTACTGAAAATGTTACCCTATTACAACAAAATGTAAAGCCTTAAAATTTGCTTTTTGTCAACTTTATTAAGTGTTTTATATAATAAAATTACAAGGTGATCAGATATTTTTTTAAACCCTTTTCATGAACTAATTTATGCCAACACCATATATGTAATTTTTCACGTTGAGCACATTTTATTAATGAAATAATATACATTACAATGAAGAAATTTGACCTTTATTACATGTAAAGATTCCGATTGAAAATTGCTTTTTTGGACTATTTGCTAAATATCTCCAATAATACCATACCAAACTTTTCGAAGCTTTGGTAATTTAGAGATTTTGATATCAAGTACAAGTCTACTTAGTAAAGTAAAAAGGGTTTTATTTAAGAAAAAGTTGCTTTTTTAGTAAGGACTCTTTTCATTTGACGTTACATGACTTGGGTGGTCGGATATTTATAGTAGGTGAGTGTATGCACATCTTTAACAAAATCCAACAATAAGGGCACTGACATATATTAGCCAACATTTTAGGGGATGGGATAACAAAAATTTTTATTTTTTTATTTTACTATATATAATATTTTTGTTTTCTTTAATGATGTACAAACAGGATCAAGAAAAGAAGCCAAAAATTCAATTGAGACAAAGAGAATAATCCGAAAGCTTTTCTAGCTATTTATAAACTTTTTTTATTTTATTTAGCTGAAAAGTCAAAAAATTAAGTAAATTGCATTGTTTTTTAATAAATTTAGATTGTTAATATTATTTTTTCTTGTAATTGATAACAGAGTCAAGTAATTCTAAAGGACATGATAAAAATCCCTTGGAATTAGGCATTTTGTAAAGAGAAGAAAGAGCTCTTAATTTCCTTGATAATTTGTCCAACGCACTTAAAGTTCACATGCAAGAAGTAAGCTTTTCTATTTATAATTCATTCATTTTACCTTTTCACCAACTTGCATATTTTACTTTATTTATATACAGTCTGTCCTTGTTTCAACGAAGTGGCTGGGCATATAAGAAAATTTTATTCAACATTCGTTGAAACAAGGTTACTAATCGCGTTTCAACGAATTTTTATATGTTTTCATAATGTGTAACAACGTTTTTAAAAATTCGTTGTATCAAAAATTTAATTATACTTCGTTGAAACAAGGGTTCACTGTATATGGATTACAAAAATATAAAATGAAAATTATTTTATTTAAGTTTTTTAATTATTCATATAATCATCAATTTTTGCTTGTTCTTTTGAATTAAATTCAATTCATTATCTGTTAATCGTGATTTGTCTGATCGTTGTTCAAAGTATAGTTTGACTTTTTCTACTGTTAACAAGCGTCTATTTTTATGTAATATAAGTGGAAGAGGAAATAATGCTACTAATAAATTTTAAGAAATAAAATTCAATGGCGTACGCTAACCAAATATTAATATGAAAATATCTGCGGATTTTTGTACACTGTTGGTACAATTAAGGATTTCCACAAAGGCAGTTCGTAATACAGAACAGAGAATTTAATTATAAAATTTTTTTAATATAGAGCAAATTTACATTAATAAAAAATTGGGACCAAAATCTTGGTTCATTATAGAGAGCAGTGAGGTTCAGTATAGAGATATAGCATAAATCACGTGGTGTTGATCAAGGATCTTCATATTATTGATTAATTTGTCTTATTTCTAAATTTAGTTAGATAAATCATAATGTCTTTCTAAAAATTCTATTTACCAACAATAATTGCATGATTTGATAGTGATGTCATCTGGCTAAGAAATTTAATGGCTTGCTTAGTTTTGCTGAAAATTTTCATCATACTATGAAATCGCACAATCTGCTTGCCTGATCATTTCGGTAGCGCACATGTTACACATATAGTTAAACCAGGGTTGGTATTGTACATGATGTCAACCCTGGTTGTTTCACGAAAAGCAGACTTGAAAAATATTCCATAAGATCATTCTTTAAATATTAAATAAAATTTTATCTTGTTAGGTTGAGAAAAATATCTTTTTGTTTTTTTAAAAAAATTAATTACTTTTAAGATTTACATTCTAAATATATTAATAATATTTAAATATGGGAAAATCTAATAGTAAGCTTAGTGAAGAAGAAATTAAAGAGCTTCAGAAATGTACTTATTGTAGGTGCCTTGCAATTTATTATATTTATTGTTGCAATTATAATATTAGAAAATTTTCAATCAACTAAAAGCTCTTTTTATTATTTATAAAGTTAAAAAACATGAACTTCAACAATGGTAAATTAATTAATATATTAATTGGTTAATTTAATAATGAATCAATCATTTAATTAAATAAAATAATTCATTTAATATAATATTATTATCATTGTAAAAGGTATAAAGGATTTCTCAAGGATTGTCCCACTGGTGAACTTGATAAAACAGAATTTCAAAAAATCTACAAACAATTCTTTCCATTTGGTGATCCTTCAAAATTTGCAGATTATGTTTTTAATGTATTTGATGAAGATAAAAATGGAAAAGTTGATTTCAAAGAATTTATATGTGCATTATCAGTGACTTCAAGAGGAGAATTAGATGAAAAATTATTATGTGAGTATTTTTTGTAATTGTATCTTTTTTTTTTTAATATTTATTAAATTAAATTCATTTGTACAATATATATCTAATGATATTATTCTATATAATAAATTACATAGGGGCATTTCAATTATATGATATTGATGATGATGGATATATAACACATGATGAAATGTTAAGAATTGTTGAGGCAATTTATAAAATGGTTGGTAGCATGGTAACATTACCACCTGATGAAGATACACCTGAAAAACGTGTAAATAAAATATTTACTCTAATGGATAAGGTAACTAAACTATTTATTAGTCAATATATATATAAAAAAGATTAAACAAATGAATAATGATCTTACATGATATATTATTAATTATTAAAATATATATTTCATATATATATAATTACCTACCTTCTCCACCATGTCTATCATTATCATTACTTTTACATTTAGAATAAAGATGGTAAATTAAGTATGGATGAATTTAAAGAAGGTTCAAAGCAAGACCCAACAATTGTTCAAGCATTAAGTTTATATGATGGTTTAGTATAATAATTAATAAATTAATGGGATAATTACTATGATTGATGGATTGTTGATTGATATATAACTTATTTTTGAGTTTGTTTATTACGAGAAAAATATTTAATTAATCAATGCATATTTATATATATATATATATATTGGTACACTATAAAAATTTAATTATTTTTTTTTTAACTTTTACATTTGAAATTTATTTCTTCTTTTTAGTATTTTGTTGGATCAGAATTTGAGATTTATTATTATATAGCATTTAGTAAATAATAATATTAATAATATAATTATTAATAGATGTATGGTTACTTCTTCAAGAACATCATTAATGAATTTTGATCTTCTAGCATCATGTTTATTTAAAGCATTTCATTTTCTGTTTCCGTGACCATTCATCCTTGTTTAGGATATTCGGTCAAATAAAATTCACCTCTTCATATCAATCTCATTTTTTATCATTTTATCGCACCGAACGAATCGAGTAAGAATTGAGCTTTGCGATTCGATTCGATTCAATATATAACATCTAGTATTAGTATATCCAACGAATTATGATTTTCAGCACTACATGATACAAATTTGGAATAATTTGGAATTGATATACAAATGCAGCCAATCAATTAACGAACTTTATCTATGTATATAAAAGAGAAAAATGATAATGTTTTTAACATAAGTTTCAATATAAACAATTTATACATTATTTTACCATTGAAAATAAATTGCGGTTTTCAAATCGAGACTAATGATAAAACGAACAGCATAAATTTTCAAAGCCATGTTTAGATTTACAAAAATCGATGGAACTTGCAATATCACGATTGCAATTGTGTCACATTCGTTCTTAATTGATTAAAAAAAAAATTTTTTTTTTTGATCAAATTTTTCAAAAAAAAAAAATTTAAAAATATTAATTAATAATGGTAAATGGATAAATATATATATATATTTTTTTGAATTTTCATCATCGTACTCAATTTGTAATTTTTTCGATAGTCACATCGTAAATTTGAAGCACCTCGTCATGGGAGTTTGGGTTTCCTTCCAAGAAAACGTGCACGAAGACACAGAGGTAAAGTAAAGTCTTTTCCAAAAGATAACCCCGAGAGCCCTGTTCACCTGACTGCCTTTATGGGTTATAAGGCTGGTATGACTCATGTTGTTCGAGATTTGGATCGTCCTGGATCAAGTAAGTGTGTTTTTTAATAAGGCTGGATAATGATGAATTAGATAAAATAATAAAATAATAATAATAACCATCATCTAATCAAAAATTGAACAATTGAATAGAAATGCATAAGAAAGAGGTAGTCGAAGCAGTTACCATTATTGAAACACCTCCATTACGAATTGTTGGTGTTGTTGGTTATGTTGAAACTCCAAGAGGTCTTCGTGCATTGACTACAGTTTGGGCTCAGCATTTAACTGATGAGGTTAAACGAAGATTCTATAAAAATTGGTATCGTTCCAAGAAGAAAGCTTTCACAAAATATACAAAGAAATATTTGGACACTTCCAAATCAGTTGATAAGGAATTGGCAAGAATCAAAAAATATTGTCAAGTGGTACGTGTATTGGCCCATACTCAAATTCGATTGGTAAAAATTGGTCAAAAGAAAGCTCATCTGATGGAAATTCAAGTTAATGGTGGCACGATTTCTGCAAAAGTTGATTGGGCAAAATCAAAGTTTGAACAGGAAGTTGATATATTATCAGTATTTGCTCCTGATGAAATTGTTGATGTCATTGGTGTGACAAAAGGCAAAGGATTTGAAGGTGTAACACATCGTTGGGGAACAAAGAAACTTCCACGTAAAACTCATAAAGGTCTTCGAAAAGTTGCTTGTATTGGTAATTATTTAATTGACCAAAATCTGATGTTTTTTTAAATTCAATTATATTATTACATTATTTACTTTTTTTACTAATATTTACATATTTACTTATATCATAGGTGCATGGCATCCTTCAAGGTAAAGATCCTAAAGCAATTAACACATGCTGTAAAGCATTCCTTAAACCAAATAATAATTAATAATATATATATATATGTAAATGTATAATTAAAGGGTAATGTACTCTGTTCCACGTGCTGGTCAAAATGGTTATCACCATCGAACAGAAGTAAACAAGAAGATTTATCGTATTGGTAAAGGCGATGATGAAAAAAATGCATCAACAGAATATGATATTACCAAAAAACAAATTACTCCATTAGGTGGCTTTCCTCATTATGGTATTGTCGAGAAAGATTTGTAAGTATGATCACTTTATATATTTGGAATTAAATGTATGAATAAACGAATGAATGATTGGTTTATATATTCTTTTTATTTTTAAAAAAATAATAGTATTATGATCAAAGGGTCATGTGTTGGTGTTAAAAAACGTGTTCTCACATTAAGAAAAACATTACTCACTCATACAAAACGTTCAGCTTTAGAAAATATTTCATTAAAGGTTTGTTGTGAATATTTTTTTCACGGGTATATACACTTGCGTGCATGCGTTATTTGTGTTTGATGAATTTATTACTAACACCAAAAAAATAATAATAATACTTTATTAGTTTATCGATACAAGTTCAAAATTTGGTCATGGTCGTTTCCAAACCGCAGAAGAAAAACATGCATTCCTTGGTACACTCAAGAAAGATGTTGTTCAACCTTAAAAATCATCATTATTATATATTTTATTTAAAAATAAAAGGAATTTTTAGTGTTTGCTGTTGTCTTCATTAGATAATTTATGATTAATAAAATTTGTATTTAATTATTTTTACTTTGTCAAAACATATTCCTTAAAAATTTAATATATATATATATATTAAAAACTGCCAATCTAGTAAACGGTTGATTAATTTGACATTCGCTTTCAAAATCTTTAGATTTTAAATTATATTGTTTAAAACCACAAAATCTAAATTTACTCTATTCACAAAAATCAATTTTACTAATGTATAAAAATATGTTCAAATTGACACAAAAATGACCATCAAGCACCTTCGCGTAAAAAAATTGTATTATACTTTTGCCCAATAAAATTTTTTTTATATGCGCAGATAGAAAAAACTCAAAGGTTATTTTTTTCTTTGCTTGTATTGAAATATATTTTTTTTCACTTTGGGTATGTGTTTCCGCAGCAAGTTCACTGATTCATAGACGGATCATCAATTAAAACTTTGCCAGTAGTTTTCATCAAATTTTGAATGTTCATGATTAATCATTCAGTCACATTCAGGTCTATCCATCTAGTTGAGACATTTAATAAAAAGGTGATGCATTTGGATATGGGAAAAAATTTCAGCTAGTACATTTATTTTTAAGTATTTTTTTTCTTTTTTTTTCGTATTTCACTTTGCACATATTATTATTATTACTGTTTTCATTATCACTACAAGATAAGTAAAACCTTCTCTACCAATAAGCACATTTCATAATTGTTGATAATAAATAAGTATGACAATTAACAAGAAAAGTGAAAATTGATTGCAAAAAAAGGTTTATCATTAATGTTAAAATATAACATGACTTTTAACCTTCAATCACGTGCAAAATAATATTTTTTTATTATTTTTGCTAAAATTTCGATTTTCACTGAAAATAAATAATGCACAATCACTAATCATTCTATCAATACAAGTTGATTTATAAAAAAAAAAAATTCAAAGTAAATAATGTTGGTTAGGTAGTGGTACAGAATTAATTGTTCTAAATATTTTTTAAATATGGTTTTTTTTTGATTTCAAATATATTATAATTCCTGATGATGTGTTGTCTTGGGCTCAAAGGCTTCAGTTGTCGTTTCAGTATCGGATGGTATTGTAACGTTTGAAGTCTCTTGGGTTATTGAATCAGCTGTTGTATCATTTGTTTTAACAGATTCCGTAGTAGCGGTGGTAGTTGTAGAACTTTTTGCCTTTATTGGTGGTTTTTTATTCACCAATTTTAAAAATTCACGTTTAATCTCATTTACTTTCTTTTGTATATCATCTGTAGTGAAAATGGGATCAATATAGAGAGCAGTTTTTCCTTGCTCTGCCAATTTTTCTTTGAGCCAGTTTTCAATTTTATCACAAACATTTAATAATTTATCAATATCCGCATCAGTATAATGCCATGTTTCAACCGTTATATTAGTTCTTATTTGTTCTATAAATCCACGCGTGTTATCTATAAGTAGTTCAAGTGAAGAAATTGCATCAGGACGTTTGATAAACTCTTCTTGTCTAAATGAAATTGGCTTCTCTAGTAATCTAAATCATAACGTTTTATTTCTGTTAAAATTAAATATGATATTTTTCATCTAAATTGATAACTGATAATTATCTACCTTAAAGTGTCAAGACGTAAATGAAATTCGTCAGTTGGTGCATTTTCTCCTTCTCCATATAACCAATCTGACGTTTCAGATAACTTTTTGGATAGTTCTGAACGTTGCTCTACAGTGGTAACTTGTATAACAATTGGCTCATCAAGAAAATCTTGGTATTTGTAAACATAAGACTCCAAATAATTCATGGCCCTTTCACGAGCATGACGTTCATTATCAATCCTTTCCATAGCAAGTAATCTAAAAAATATTTTTATTCCAATTATCATTATTTGTTTATAAAAATTAAAAATTTGTGGAGAATATATAAACATACCGTTGGATCGAGTTAAGCTTCTCTTTTTCTCCTAAAGGTTTTATATCAACATTATCAACATCAACACTTATATCATTTTCATTAATGTTTTTTTCAGATTGGTTTGCAAATTCAGTTGGATGGGATGTGATGTCTGTGACCTTTACTTCTTTAACTTTAAAATGATGACTCAACCCAGCACCTCTAAAACCAGCACCTATAAATTACGATAATAAATAAATACATACACATAGGCACATAAATGCAGCAAAAAAAATTTTTTTTTTTTGCGTACCTAAAACAGCTGCTTCATCTCCATTAAGATTTTGCGCAATTTTATCTCTAATAATCAATTGTTAGGTTTGATAGATTATTATTCATAATATATAATTTTTATTTCTATTTTTTTCTTAAAAAAAATATTTAATATTTACTCTCCAATAAGTCCTTTAAGCATATTTTGAACAGCTGGCACACGAATACCACCACCAACTAACACGCATGTTTTTATATCAGACTATGATAAATAATATATAAATAAATATAAGTTTATTTATAAATTAAGTCTATATAATAATCAAAATAATAATCAGAATAAATACCAATGTCAGATTAGCCTTATTTAATGCTGTGATATAAGGAGCTTCAACACGCTTAATCAAATCATTTGTAATAGATTCAAGTTCGTTCCTTGAAATTGCAATCCTAAAATCTTTTTCTTCGTGTAAATTCTCTATCTTTGGTAATTGATATTAAATAATAATTGTTTATAATTATTATATTACTATAATTATTATTGTTATTATTATTATTACTATAATTATTATTGTTATTATTATTGTTATTATTATTATTACTATTACTACTACTACTATACTACTATTATAATTTTACCAGCATTAAAAAACTTACTGAAGCCATTGTCTCTGTGTTGGCACTAAGAATTTGTTTCACTCTATTTGCTTCTTTAAATAGTTTTGTCATAGCACGATCAGACTTAAAAATGGATTCTTTCAACTTATTACTGTGTAAATTATCAAACTTTGTCGCAAAATATTTTTTAAGCCGAAGATCAAATTCTTGTCCCCCGAGAGTTCTATCGTATCCGGTTGATAAAACTTCTAAATTAATAAAAGTCTTGTTGAAAGGACCCGCATCCTTGTTATTAACAATATTAAATTTGATCACACTAGCTTTAGTGCTTCCAGCACCCATATCATAGAATAAATGAATTTGTGGATCCTCAGTAATAGAAGAAGAGTGTGTAATGGCATAGTTTATTCCAACTAATATAGTAAACTCGTCAATAATGGCAATTTTGAAAGATTATAAGAAAGAGCTGTAATAATTTTGATCAATAGACTAACCAGCTGTCTGATCATTAATCAAGGATAACACACGTAATCCAGCAATTTCAGCAGCGTCCAGAATGGCTTGTCTTTCGAATTGATTATAATATGGAGGAACCTTGATTTAATGCAATACATTAATATTAAATAAGACTTTATTTATAATTGAACATGTGAAAATAAAAAAATAGCAAAAAAAAATTACAGTAATAACACTATCTTTGACTTCTTCTTGTGCGGTGACTTCAGCTTGCTTTTTAGCATGAGATAATTGCATTGCAACTAATTCCTCAACAGAAAATGTTGTTGTCTCATTATGTTGAAATAAAACAGTTCCTCTTATCGGATCTTTTATTATTTTATTAGGAAAGTTTGATTTATATTCTTGTACGTACTTATCATCTACTACTCTTCCAAGAAGCCTTTTAAGACTAAAGTAAGTATTGCTCGGAAATCTTGCCCCCTTTTATAAATTATTGACTTGATATTAGCAAAAGTTGGGAAATGTTTATTTTTGAAGGGTAAAAGTTTGTATGGATGGTTAATATTAATAAAAACATACAATGTTAACAGCATCAGAACCGTATAATCTTTCATTGTCGCGAATAGTTATAACCGACTGTGTTTTTCTTTTGGAATCTCTGTTTAATACAATATTGAGTGGAATTCCCGGTTTTACTATTGAAACTTTAAACCAATCAGTTCCATAATCAATGCCAATGACAGTAGCAGCTTCAATTATTGATAATGAATTAAGTATTAATAATGTAAAAAAAGTAAAAACAAATAAGGATTGTTTTTCTATCATTTTGTCTAAAAAAAATGAATTAAAAAAAAACACGTTAGAGGAAAAAAATATTTATTTTTTTTATTTCTTTGTCATACTTGTTGCGTTGTTAAATTGTTATTGGATGCAAGATAAAAATGTGCATAATAAAATCTGTCATGTTTTAGACCCAGTTTACATAATAATTTGTAAGTTCTCCTAAAAGTAATAGTAATAGTGTATCATTGATTTGGCTATCGTCCAAAAATCAACTTCCACATTTATTATTTTATGGGTCTGCCTAAAACTGGTTCAATTTTTGCAGTTGTTAAGTAGGTTAATCATTTATATGATTATAAAAGTAAGTTCATACAAGTTCAAGTTATAATCAAATTTCTACAGAACTAATGAAGAAAGAAAATTTAATTTTTCTACTATATATATATCTTACTATTCATTATTATACTGTGAGGCTAGGTCACGTTATCGTGATATTATTGGCTGGAGCTTTGATATATTCGTAATAATAAAATTAGCCAATAAAATTTCGCGTTTGGTTTTTGTTGTTTTATAATTAGAGTTACAAATTACAATATGCCAAGAGCTGTTAATAAATTATTTTCTAGTATGAACTATATAATATGTTTGTCAAAAAATTAAACGCAAGACGCGGATGCAATTCGTGATGCAATTCGTGACCGATACAAAGATGACAAAAATGGTAAAGCTCATATATATTATCAATTATTTAGCATAAACCACATATGTTGACAAAATTAAAAATCTTGTGATGTAGTTGATATGGCAAAAATGGTAACGTTATATTGGTATTGATATTTAAGCTGAGGAAGAGATCAATTCCACAATCTTCTTTATCAAAAATAATTAGGTATCATCTCATACTCGTACAGCGGGCGACAGCAAAAGCCATCAATTATTCTTGGCTTACCAAAAATGTTATCTACTCCTCAGGGGTGATCAATTTTAAAAAAATAATTGCTATTTAGAAGTCAGGGAATAATTCGTTGCAGCCAGATTTTTAAACTTAATAGCAAAAATTATAAGGGTTTAAAATTTCACTATTTTGTAATATTTTATATATAATTTTCAAAATTTGCCGCTGTTTGAAATGCCAAATCGCACAAAAAAAATAAAATCACTTCTTTCAAACTCACAAAAAGCTAACGAAGCCCGTCGTTGATTCAAACCGCGATTAGCAAATCTTTGAATTAAAGCTCTATCTAGATAATACAAAAACATTAAATTTATATGCATAATTATAAGGACCTGAGCTATCAATAATATAAATTTCATATAGTTATTATAAAGGTTTTGTGGAATTTTCGAAAAACTGCGTTTTGAATACTTTTTTCGTATATTAATGTGATTTATTATGATAATTTTCTTAAATTTTATTGGCTAAAATTTGTACACGTGATAAATTTTAAAACTCAAATTTTGCCGCCCCTCTTGTATCACTTTGCTTTGATGGGTTTTGCTGTCGCCCACTGTATATACCAAAGATAGAGTGAAGTAGTACGAATATGTATTTCCTCACTCACAGCTATATATATATATTTCAACAACTTGGTTATTTATATTACAGTGTTGGCATTTTGCAGGCCAAATGGCTAAAAAATTGTTTGGTCGCAGCCGAATGCCATATAATAGTAATGGAGCCAGAAATAAAGCTATTGTCACAGTCTTCTTCCTGCTCTTCCACCACCACCACCACTTCCACTGCTTCCACCACAATCATTACCACCACCACTACAAAAAATTCGAAATTATCACCAATCATTCAACTCATCAAAGATAAAATAATAATTCCAGCCACCCGACTACTAAAAGATATTCAACTATACATTGAGGATGTGATTTTTGAATTGACTTACTTTATAAAAAATATGTTTTTGAATGATCCAGTACGACAAACACCAAATATTTTCTCGGTTTTTATATTATTGTTGAAACGATCTCTATTACAAATTTATGGAAACAAAACACGATTTGTGATGGATCAGATATTAAATTTTTTTTGTGGTTCATTTCTTTCAGCAGCTGTCAGTAACTACAGATATATCGGTTCTCCACCACAAGAATTATGTTTGATTATGCCGATGATACTTCATCCATATTGTAAATTACCACTAGATAATTTACAAGTAAGAGAATGGTTGGATTATGATATTATTGTTTTTGATCTCTATACTGTATATAAAAAATCCCAATTTATTTTTAGAATTTGGCCACATTTATGAAATCTATAGTAATGTATTCGAATAAATATTTAATTAATAATAGTTTCATGGATTTTTATTTCCACATAATTGAAATAATTAGATAGTAGTACAACGTTTGGTTGCGAGAAAGTGGTTTATTGGCGTGAAATATCATCAGGAATGTCAGCAATACCGTATTTTTTTTTGCAAAAGCTGTAGCAGATATACCAAGATTAATAGCAGCATCATTCATGTTTTCAATATCATTTATAATGTTTTATTCAAATGAAACAAAATTTTGTGATCATTATTTAATTATTTTATTAAGTTATTTTGCTGCTTGGAGTTCAGGTAAAGAAAATAGATTGGTTTTTTATTTGATCTTTAGATAATATAATTCATCCGATCTGTATTCGTAGGATATTTCTTATCAATCATTGTGAGCAAAGAACAAATAGGACTTGCGGGCACAGCATTTGCACTCTCATGGGGTTTGGTATTTGGAGGATCTAATCCAACTTTAACACAAGTCAAATCTAATTCAAGTTATGCAAGAATACGTTGGTTATGGGAGGTAAATGAATTTACAAATCCATTATTACGGTTATGCTTTAAAAATCTGATTCAAATACTTTTTTTTTTTAAAAAAAAATAGATTTCAGCACAAAGATGGGCAATTGAAGCAGCATATTTAAAAGAAATTTGGTCAAGAGCGTAAGTACGTACACAATTACATAAATACATGCGTTTATATAAAATTTAAATCATTTGATCAATTAATAGATGGCATGAAATTCACGACACACCATTAAATTTTACATATAAGTTTGACGAGTATAATGAATGTTTAAGAAATATTTGTTTGATTGCATTATGTTGGTTTTTATTGGCATTTTTAGCATTAAAATTAATTAACAGAGATAAACAAAAATAAATAAATTTTGTATAGATTTCAAGAACTATATAGTCAAAAATTTAATTGATAGATTAGGTCGAATTTATTTGTTGCGGTTCCATTCCTTTTTAGTGTACATTTTTTACACTTGTTAAATCGCTGATTATAATAAAAATATAAAAATCCTTACGAACCTTGTCAAAAATTCCATGAATTTATAAATGTGGTATGACTATTTCACTTGACAATTATCAATTTGCAAATTTTAAGAAAAGTTATCAGAATCAGAGGTTTCATTCCAAGGGATGATCGGCAGTATCGACAGAATAATGATAGGACCGGGAAAACTCTATTGAATGTGACCGCCAAATTAAATAACAAATCATATTAATGCGAATCTTAGTTTTTTATAATTATGCGGATCGATTTTCCGAACACATTTTAAAATCATTAATAATGCGAATCAAAATAGCCGAGGACATTATGAAATTATCTTTATTGATTAAAAATATTTAAAAGAAAGTTTTGTGTACTTGATTGACTAAAATGATTATAAATTGAAAATTTTTCATCATCTACTGCAATCAAACAAGGATTAATATTAGAATAAGAACGTATTCCCAAAAAATAAACTACTTCTCGTGGTGTAATATGAATTGTAATGTCTCCTCCTGCCAAATTTTCACATGAAAAATATCATTGTGATACAGGAAGATAGGCCTCAATAGAAATATATGATAAATGATCTAAAAATCCTGCAGGCTTTTCTACCCATGAATGTCCTTGCCCACATTTTTCATAAAACATAATGACTTTGCCCAAACACTTGATAATTGACTCCAAGTGAAATAATTTGACCACATTTACAAATTCTTAAAAGTTAGGGTATGTAGTAAAACGTTTTTGACGTGAATCATAAGGAATTTTTTTTATTATTTTTATTATGATTTTTTTTAATAACATTTTTTATTAATAGTGTAACCGATGACATTTTTTATTTTTCTGTCTGCGAAATCAGTGTAACCGATAACTTTTTTTTCTTCGAATAATATAAAAGCGGCGACATTTTCCATTTTCTATCAATGTGAATCTATGGTGAGGCGGTCACTTTTTTTTTTTAAAGTACTTTCGAATCATAGTGTTGGCGGTCACATTCAATAGAGTTTTCCTGGTCCTATAATGATCCCATGCATACAAGCCACCTAGCCAAAAAATTTCTTCAAGAAAGTTTTCCCAAAGTTATGGATTGGCCATCCAACAGTCCTAATTTAAATCCAATAGAAAATTTGTGTGCTATTATTAAGAGGAATGTGGAGAGGAGGATGCCAAAAAATCTAGCAGAATTGGCAGTTTATGGGATGAAATTCCTAATTTATTTTTGATTCATTTTATAGAAAATAATAGCAAAAGAATTCCTTATCAATAAAAGGTGATATTTTAATCTATTAAATGAGCCGTTTTTTACATGAATTGACACAGTAGTTGTCTCACAATGTTCATTTAGAAACTTCCTTTTTTTTTTGTAACACATTGTATTTGCGTAAAATCAATATTGCTGGGCCTGAAAGTTTGAGTCAGAAAAATTTTCCTGATAAGTGAATAATAAAAGCACCATGGCTTGCTTCTGATATACAATCCTTAAACACATTATTGTTTTTTTTTCACGGAATATAAGTTCATGGCTGCACTGATATTTTCTGGTCCCACTTATATATACATGAAGTCGAAATTAAAACCCCAAAGTCAAAATGTTTTGACTTGAGGAAACTACATAGTAAAAATCAGTTTCGACCAGATCTACAAATGGTCAAAATAGTTTTGACTTCATGTATAGTCCCACTATATAAATATTCATCATATATAATCATCAATTCATGTTATCAATGTAGAAGCAGTTGAAATTGAACAAATTACCACAGATAGAATAATTGAATCTTTAAATCAATCAGATCTTAATGATGATAGAATATATTAATGATAATTATATTAATGACAATGAATTGAACTTGACAGAAAAGCCATTAGGTGATGATGAAATAGTTCAAATGGTTTGGACAAAGCAAACAATGAATCAGAAAGTGAAGATATTGATGAACCAAAAATTATTGTGACTATTGCGAATGCTTTGAAAGCAGATCGAATATTTGAGCATCAAAATGATTTAGAGTTTTAAAAAAATATAAATGAAATATTGAGAGAAAGATTTTTTTCTCAAAAACACAAAGAAGTTTAAAATAAATAATCGAAACTATTTTCATTATTATTCTTATGTAAATTATAACATATTTTTAATAAATATTATAAAAAAAAAATAATCACTGAATTTTTAAATTTTTATAACAAGTGACTATATTAGCAGTGTTGTGACTAGAAACTCTTTTGATTTCCCGAAACGTTTCGGAAAATGAACTTACACTGAGCAGAAAACTAAACCTAAACATAAACTACTAACCCAAACTAGTTTCGGGTGGTTTCTGTTAGTTTCTGTTTCGGGTTTTCCCTAAACTCAGAGTTTCGGGTCACAACACTGATTAGGAGGGATCTTATACAGTCACATTAGCTATAATCACCAAAAATCTCTGGTCCCGCCCGACCATGTGATTATAGAGGAGTCTGACTGTAATGCATTAATATTTTACTATCTCAATATTTGTATCATAGATTGTATCATTCATTTATCATGAATAATTCATTAATATTTTATTATCTCATCGCTGATTGTATTATTCAATAAATTAGATAACATTCTTGTCTGTACATCTATATTTTTATTTCATTTTATATCATCACTTATATCATTGATTATATCATGTGAAGAAATACATTTGTAATCCTATTAAATTTTATTATGTTCAGAAATATGTATAAAAAGGTGATTTCGCAACCTTCTAATGTTTGAGATAGATAAATTTTAAATTTAAAAAATCACGTGAAATTCGATAAGTCGGCCACAGGGTCCACCCCGACATGATTGACTTATCGAGTTTTACATGTGTATTACTAAATTAGTATTAAGATAGTTTTATTATTACGCCGATCATTATTACTAATAATGAATGGATTTATCGCAAGTTCAATTCATCAAAACGCTAGTGCCATCATAATAACAAAATCATCATATGTAATAAACCGCGCACCTAATATTTTAAAGCAACACAAATACCTCTGTATGAAAATGAAAATAATATCTAAATGACAAACTTGATATCTCACGTTGAATTAAATATTGAAAACTTGCATTGAACGCCTTGGTATTACTCAATGTATCATCCAGCATTTATTCTAAATGAAAGAATTTAAAAATTGCATTGTTAATATTATTATTAATAAGGTATCTGCCGCTCATTCAAAATTATGATGAGGCATAACAATACTTATAAAGGAAGTTGATATGTTTGTGAAATGGTTTTTGCAAGGTCCCCTGTCCATGTCTTTGCACACTACCTGTATTTATTAGAGGCTTTCGTTAAACCACACTATATTTGCAACTACATACGTAGATAGGAGGTTACCCGAAATCTTATTGGCTAATTGAGAGAATCTCTAATATAAATAGACTATTTAACGACACCAGCATAGTGGAAATTTGTTTCATCCGATATGTTACACAGACTGTTTTCACTAGCATATATTTTTTCATCTCTCCAAGTTGGAGATCCAACTGAGATCCCACTTTTTATTACATTCACTGTTGATCATCTTTTTAATGATCCACTACGGTAAACGACACCCACCATGTGGGCATACTTTTACAGCCTTCATTAAAAAAATTTTTATATATAACTATGAGATGTTTTATTATTTATCATGTGATAAAATAACTTCTTTTTTCAACTTGGAAGAATTTATTATTCGTAATGAAACGACATAACATTTTCTACTTAATATTATATGTTATCATTATGAATTTTCTGATTAAAACAAACGGATATTTATGATAATTGAAGTTTTTTATTAAAGAAAATGTTGACATAATCTTTTCGACCCATTTAGTAATAATACCGATAAGATAATATTTATATATGTACTAATACGAGAACAACTTCCCAAGTCGGCTTTTCAAGTTAAAAAACACTCTCATCATGAAGAACATTTTTGGCCACTTTAAGAAAATTTCATATGAAATGAATGATCTCCCAAAAAACGATATATTTTTTCCTCGGGCAATATCAATTATTATTATTAGAATGAACTCTATTATTATGAACTTATCCGTATGACGTTAAAAATAATTAAACCATAATTTTTTAATGATTTTCACATGCAATATATATCATTCATAGTTCATATTTACTATATTATAAACGAATTTCATTCTGTCTGTTCTCTTTTACACATTCATATCTTCTTTCAGCAAGAAAAAATTCAAATATTTTGTATTTATAAACAAACACACACAAACACACACAAACACATAAACACATAGATAAAAAAAATGCCTCTTGAAAGTTTTGAAGAATGGATCGATACAAAAGACGGTATTAGACTATATACTAAAACTTGGAAGGTACGAAGAAAACTTTCACTATTTTAATAATGTATATATTTATTAATTGCTTCCTAAAATTTTAACCTAAAAATCTTAAAGTCAGTAAGCGAACCTCCAATAGCAACGGTGGTGTTTTCGCATGGTTTTGGTGAACATGTAAATCGATATAATCATGTATTTGATAAATTTCAATTAAAAAACATCGAAGTATATGCATTTGATCAACGTGGTTTTGGTCAAACAGGCAAAAAAAATAAAAATCTTGGTATTACGGGTGGTTGGAAAGTTGCTATGGCTGATATAACCGAGGCTTTGATTAGAAAAAGAAGAAAAGGTATACCACAATTTTTATTCGGTCATAGTATGGTAAGTTATTAAAATAAATCAGAAAAAAATATTTGATATTGTCTCCTTTTTTTCACTTCCATCCTTATTTTTATATATGGTAATAGGGAGGTGGCATAGCGTTAAATTATGCTTGTGAAGGTCCAGAAAGAGACAATTTAGCTGGCATAATTGCATCAGCACCCTTAGTACTACCATCTGTACAATCAAAACCTGCACAACCAGTCGTGACAATTGGTAGTGCGCTTAGTAAAGTTTTACCAAATTTAACCATACCTGTTGGTATGAATGCAAAATATATTAGTAGAGATCCTGAAGAAGTGCAAAAATATATCAATGATCCTTTAATTCATGGCGCAGCTTCTCTACGATCTCGTAAGTAAATGAAGACAATGATGCTACTACTACTACTATAATTATCATATCTAACGAAAAATTACATTGTTTTTTTTTAAATAATAAAAATAGTTAATGAGATGTTACAAGGTACAAAATCTGTTTTAAAAGAGAAGAATAAGAATATAACAGGTCCAATTTATATTTGTCATGGGAGTGATGACCCAGTCACTTCCCCCGATGCTTCAAGACAATTATTTGAAAAAATTTCAGCAAAGGATAAAACTTACCGTGAATGGCCTGGACTTTATCATGAAAGTAAGTATACTTGTTTTAATATAATTAATTAAAACAAACCTCATTAAGATTGCCTAAATTCAATTAAATAGTGCATAATGATTTTGAAAGAGATCAAGTAATTGATGATTGGATTCAATGGATTCTTGATCACGTTAATTCGACCAAGAATAATTACGCTGGAGATAGGAAAAAAACTAAACTTATTCAAAGTCCTAGGAATCTTGGTTTAGCTTCGGCATAAAATAAAATAATCACAAGTGTCATTGCTTTAATAATAATAATAATAATAACAATAATAATTATGTATATTTATTGAGAATTAGAAATTAATTTTTATTATTGTTTATTTTGTTATTTTCTTCTTTTTGCCTTATTAATATATTTATTTAATAATTTAGTATCATAATTTTTTTAAAGAAATTTCTTTTTTTTTAATATAAAGATAAAACTCACTTGATATAATCCAGTATAATATCCAGAATAATACCATGCCATCAATAAATTTGCTAATGCTTCATCATCTATTAATTAAGATTTAATTAAATAATAAAATTTTACACAAAATCATAAAATCACAAATAATAACATAAGTTTTACATACCAGGTGCAAGTGCAGGTGCAGACGCGGGTGTTGGAGGTGGTGGTGGTGGAGGTGGTGGATGTTGATACCACATATATTCAGTATTATTTTGTCCATCACCAGTTGATGATGATGATAATGGTTGTTGTTGTGGTGGTGGTTGTGGTTGTTGTTGTTGTTGTTGTTGTTGTTGTTGTTGTTGTGGTGGTGGTGGTTGTTGTGGCTGTTGTGGTTGTTGTTGTTGTGGTGGTGGTGGTGATGATGATTGTTGTAGTTGTGGTGACGATTTAACATCTTTTTCTTTATTAAATTTTTTGCTATTTTTAATACTATGAAAACTCTTGTTTTTGAAAATATGCAATATGTATAATAAGTAATAATAACAGTAGTAATGATTTTGGTATTAAAGATAATTTCATTGATTATATATAATTTACCTGATATTCATCGACAGCAGATTCCCAAGCAGCTACCAAAGCGCTATCATCCCAAATATCATCAACATCCTCCTACCAAAATTATCCAAATATATTATTATATCTGTATAACTTTTTAAAAATTTTTTTTGAATAATTGTTTTCATACTTCTTGTTCTTCTTCAAATTCTTCACCTTCTTCAACCTCTTCAACTTCTTGTTGATCAAAAGTACTTAATTTATTCATAAAATATAAACTTGGATATTTTTAAAAAAAATTTTGATAAGAACTTTCGGGGATCAAATTACAACAATATAATGTTGATCATAATTACTTATGACTAGTTTTTAAAAGTCCATTTTTTTATTTATAAAAGAATATTTTGAGGAATTTTGGTATACGCATTAAATAAATAATTTTCATTGCTCTCTGACAATATCATTTGCAGCACAAAGTTCCCATGAACTGGTAGAATTGATGCATATCTTCTCATCGGTTATCATAGAAATCTAGTGATAAAGACATATAATCAGGATAATATTAAGGCAATGTATTTCTTGCAAATTTGCCTGCTGAAAACAGCTGATCTGTTTGCATAGATGCTATCATAAAATGATCAAAATATACTAATGCATAATTTCGAGAATCAGTAGAAAGAAATGTTCTCCGTCTATGAATCAATGAACTTGCTGCGGAAACACTGATCTTTACGTCCCCCCCAAAGTAAATATTTTTTTTTTCAATGCAACCAAAGAAAAAAATTATTTATTAATAACCTTTGAGTTTTTTCTATCTGCATACACAAAATATTTTATCTAGTAAGGCAAAAGTATGATACAACTTTTCACGCAAAGGTGCAGCAGAAATCATTTACTACGCCAAAATGGTATCGTTGTACTAATCAAATTTAGAATCTTCTGCAGATTTTCGTACATGCCAACAAATCGGTTTTTTAACGAGGTTTTTTAACGAAATCGAACATGAATCTACATACTTACCAGCCAATTGTACTTCTGCGAAATATTAATGAAACCTTACTTAATAGCTTATTGAACGCACATCAATAAATTGAAAACAAATAAATTTAAAATAGAATTATTATTCCTTTCAATCACCAGCAGACCGAATGCCTTTGTAACGAGTAAGAAAATCACAGAGAATTATAAATTGAGGCATACATTTCAAATCACTGTTTTTTTTTGCTTTATTATGATTTAGTCAAAAAAGTGGAGTGATGATAGATTTATTGATTTCTACAATTTGTTTACAATTTTGATTATTAAAGTCGACATAAATTATTAAAGATTCAAAGCATGTAAAAGTTGTTTTTTCAATAAAACGGATTAAAATTTTTTATATACAAATATATATACAAATATATATTATATATATAATAAAACTTAACAAATAATTTTTTTTTTTAATTTTTTGATAGTTCAAAAAAAATTAATAGTTTGATTGAAAGATATAAAGAGTGGGAAAGGAAAAATAAAAATTCTTTGAAAATATTATTAATTAATAAATTAATAAACAATAAATTTGTCAACAAATCAGCAAATCAAATACTTAATCAATTCCAAACTCTATCCCTAATCTCATTTCTGCCACCTCTGCAAGTTGATCCAATGCTGTACGTTCTTCTCTAGGCAGTGTCTGTGAATAAGATGTAGCATTAACCGAAGAAATTTTTTGTGCTTGTAGATAACTTGGCGTTCCTTGTGTTATTATTGTATTATTAGGATGTTGTTGTTGTGGAAATGTATAATTTGTATTTATCTTTGCATTTTCTTCTGATCTTAAACTATTATGTTGAGAATATGAATTATTACTAGCTGAAAAGTTCTTTGTTGTATAAGTTGTATTGACATGACCTGTACTTGATGGAGATGCGTTAACTGATGGAAATATTTGCCTATAACTTGTATCTAATTTCGATGATGATGGCGATGAATCCATTGGCTGGTGTTATGCAATTAATTAGTCAATTAAAATAAAATGCATAAAATAGATATTTAACAGATATAACAATTTTATAGGGAAATATAATAACAATTGCTTACTAAAATTAAAGATTTTGATCCATTTTGAGCTTGAGAAAAATCGTACATGTAATATCCATTGATTTGTTTCTGAGGTGTATGCTCGCCCCCACCCCCACCAGGTTTTCCTATCCTATCCTGTATTGGCGCTTTTTTTGGTGATGATATTGATTGGTTTATTGACATCGATTGATTTATTGGGTTGGTGGATGATGATTTTAATAACATTGATTCTGTTGGTAACTATTGTTGTTATATTCACACACACACACATATACGTGCACATTAATTAATTAAATATGTTTCACTAAAAAATAACAATTGACAATTAAATTATTGATATTATTAACACATGCCTCTTTTTTTAATTTATCATTATGTATTGTATTCACCAAACCACGATATAACTGTATGATATAAATCATTTAATAATAATAAATATAACGAATGAATTTTGAAACAGTCATAACAACAATAAATTACATACATCCAATTCTTGTTGTAACCTTGCTTGTTTTTCATGAGATTCCTCCAATTGTGAATTAGATTCTTTTAATTTTTTACTTAATATATTAAGATCTTTCTGTAATAATTGAATTTCTATAGAATATTTACTGGCTTTCTCTTGATCCTATACAATTTTTATTAGTCAAAAAATATGTATCGTATATATAAACAAAAAATTTTCATCATATATCTTTTGTATATATATTTATATACACTTTAAATAATAATTTTAATTACTATGAGATATATATAATATTATATATTTACTTTCATTGCATGATACTTTGACATTCCTTCAATATGTTCATTTGCTTTTTTTGCTTTATCATTTGCATCTTTAAGCTATTCAAGTAAATCGCAAATAAATAAATATAAGTATTGTTGATTGAAGTGTTTCAATCAGTAAAATAAAGAAAAAAAATTTTTATAGATAAATAAGATAATTAATACCTTTGTCGTATATTCATGAGTCAATTTTTCTAAAGTTGTTTCATGTGCACGTATATATATCGTTGCTTCTTTAAACTGTCATATTCATATAAAAGCTTAATAATATTTTTAAAGAAAAAATTTCGACAAACAGATATTACAATATAAATGAAAATCATGAAGTTTACCAAACGTTTTAAACTTTCATTGTCCAATTTGTCTATGGATTCGTCGTCAAGCATTGAAAATTTAAGAGGATTATTATCATTAACCCTTGAAATACTCATCTTTATATACATATATAAATTGATCATTTAGGTTTTAAAAAAAACTTAATTGTTAAATTGAAATTATGTTATATAAATAAAAATACATATGATCGTGTTATATGTATATATAAATAAAAAAACCTGACCTGTACTGATTGTTGTGATATGATTAATGTAAGGGTCATAGGACAGGCTATCTGTAAAATTATAAAATCTTTGCATACCATGTAGTTTTCCGAATGTGATAAATTTCTAATTAAAATATTTGCAGATCGGTGCTGTGCATAATTAGATGACGCGTCAAAAAAGTAATGAATTCATTTTTCAGTTAATATGCGACGAGGAAATCTTTGAATGATGAATTTGTTATAATTATATTTATTTTATTTATTTTATATATATTTATATTTATATTTATATTTATATTAGCAATTTTATTTGATCAATTTTTTTTTTTAGAAAAAAAGAAATATTTTCATCTGTGTAAAATCTCCAATAAAAAAAAGTGAAGATAAATCATATTACATATGTATATGTATATATTTATTTATTATGATACACCAAATATACTGACTAATAAAGAAAAAAAGTGGGAATAAAAAGGAAATATGAAAAAAAGGAGAATGAGAATGGGAATGAGAATGGGAAAAGGGTTGTTAAAAAAGGGTGATTTAAAAAGGGTTGATTTAAAAAGAATAAATGTGTTATAAAAAAAAGGGAAAAGAGGAAAATGCAAGAATAATAAAATCAAAAAAAAATAAAAATAATAATAATAATAATAATAATAATAATAATAAAAATGAAAATTGTTCTAAAAAAGATTTAATAACTAACTGAATAACTAATTACATATGTATTATTTTAATTTTTAATTTTAATATCTGTTGCTTTTTCTACATAGGTTGATTAGTATTATTATCAAAGTTGAAACCTCCTTGAGGTAGATTTAAATCTGGTTGGAAAATAAATTGACCTGTATTCATATCCATTTCTGGAGCCAAATTTGAATCTTCCTCATCATCTTCCGCAAAGTATTTATCAATAATATGATATGCTTTTTTGTAAATATCAATGTTGTCATGAGTTTGCAAATTATGAATTTTTTCCATACCGCCTGCTTCCTCAACATAAACTGCAAATTGATTGAGACTATCAACTTTTTCCAAATCACCAACTTTAAGAATGTTCTCAAGGCCGTCAAGAGCAACCTGAATAATTTTATTATCCAAACAAGTTAATAGATCACAAAGAGGTCTGATGCATCCTTGACTAACAAGATACTTGATTTGTTCAGGTTTGTTTAATCCTCCAGAAGTTGCATTGGAAATAGCCCAACATGCCTCTTTACGAGTTTTGAAGTCTGCATGTCCCATGATGTTAATGATAGGTGGTATGATGTTTGCGTCTATAACCGCCTGTATTTGAGCACAATTTCCAGCTGTAATGTTTGAAATGGTCCAACAAGCCTCTTTACGAAGTCCTTCTTTTACACTAGATAGTAACCTTAACAAGGTAGGCAATACACCACAATTAATAATAACTTGAGTTTGAATATCATCGCCTGTAACAATATTTCCAACTGAACGTAAAGCGGGCGTTTGAACAGAAGTAGAAGAGTGCCTGAAATAAATATTTTTAAAACATCATTTAGTATTTGATGATTATATGATATACTAATGAATAAAATATAATAGTGGTGGTAGTAATGATAAAACTTACATTAAAAGTTCAACAAGTCTACGACAGACACCAGATTCAATGACGGCTTGGATCTTTTCATTACTACCATCAGACAAATATGAAATTGCCCAACATGCATCAATAAGAACTTCATCATCAACAGAATAGATAAGTTTGGCAAGAACTGGTAATGCAGGGACGATCTAAGAGGAAAAAATATTTTTATTATGATTAATTTACAAATTAATCAATTAACCAAAAAAAATTAATACCAAATTCCAATCAGGTTGAGGATTTTTGCCTCGACAAAAGTTAGACAATGTCCAGGTTGCATTTCTCATCATTGATATTTTATTATTTTCATTCAATATAGAAAGTAAAGGTCGAAGGGCACCTTCTTTTAATACAATATCACGGCAAGGTGGACTATCTCCTGCAATATTACCTAAAGCCCAAACAGCCTAAAAAGATATTTATGTATTAATTAATATATAAATGTGTGTTAATTATATATATGTATGTATGTAAATTAATTCGAAAATTTTTTACAAAAATTTAATAAAATAAACTTTAACCTGTTCCTTAACATCAGCTACATTGCTACTTAATAATTCAACAAAGATTGGTACAGCTCCAGAATCAATTACTACTTGAGTTTGTTCGGAAGATCCTGATGCAATATTGGTTAAAGCCCATGCAGCCTCAAACTAAATAAATAATAGTAATATATATATTAAAAATTAACATGTATGTTGTATATCTTTTTATTTCTAAATACAAACCATACAAATAAATCTTTATAAAAAAAATGCTTACTTGTACAAGAGAATGAGGAGACCTTAAGAAATCGACAAAACGAGCAACCACGCCACATTCAATGACTTGTTCTATTGGAGGATTTCTTTCTTTCGAAAGCAATTTTCTAAATTTTGTAGTTGCTTGCAATTGTTCTTCCACATTTTCAGAGAAGACACCACTAATCATTTCAGGTAACTGTTCTTGAAGCTAAACCATACAAAAATATTTAATAAATAAATTTAGTTATATACGTGCATATTAATATTATGATCGAGGCAAAAAATAAGGCATTAATTGTAATAGAACAAATTAAGAAGTTTTAAAGTTAATTGGGAAAGGATACGAGATAATCAATCCTACTATATGGTGAATTCTGCAATATGTCGAACTTGGAAAATTTCACATTTTATAATAAAAACCAAAAGCTTCATATTGACTGTAGATACTAGAAATAATAAATGGAAAACAGAATGAAAAAAGAAAAAGAAGTTTTACCTGAGCATTGACAACAGCAGCAGCAACATCATCATCAGAATCAGAAGATGCATTTACATTTAAATTACGACGCTTTGCCAAAGATTCTTCACGGGTTTTACGCCGAATTTCGATCTGTTGCTCTTCACGACGTCGACGTAGCTCTTCAGCTTTAAAAATGGCCTTTGACTTAAAAGCATTTTTTCTATGTTCAGGTATTTTATCCATTTTATTTTTATTAATAAAAGAATGTAGACGACCCTTTCTCAAGAAAGGGAATCAGATATATTGAAAAATAAAAAAATTTTTTTTTTTGAAGAGTGACAAGTTTGTGATTGTTCATGTGATCATTAGATCTTGAGATATATCACATAAAATAAGGCAAGTCAGAAGCTGAACTTTTTGCGCCACGCTGACAAAGCTCAAATATTATTTCCGCTGAAATGGATAATGATAATAATAATAATAAAAATGTAAAATGATCGTCGGAAATAATAATAATAATAATAATAATAATAATAATAATAATAATAATAATAATAAATAATAATTGCCGGAAAAAACCGGCAAATTAAAGTATATTAACAAAGCTTTTGTGCAGTAGCATTTCTACCAAATCAAAAAACCGGGGGGCGTGGTAAGAGCTTCACCCAAAAAGACACGTCATCTGGTACACGTGAAATTATTAACTCTCGTCCAATAAATAGTAATGGATACAATGATAAAACAGGCTCTTTATCAAATTTCATGGGTGAGCAATGGGAACAGTGGGAATAGTGTGTAGATGATAAATTAGAAGAAGGTGGCAAATGAAATGAAGGAGATAAAAAGAAAAAACTTTGGAATGAAGAAGAAATGTTGATACTTTTGAATCATATAAAAATATATTATGAAATGTTCATAAAGAAGTTAAGACAACTAAAAGAAAACTCAAATTGTGCTCAATAAACATGATATGATTGGAAATGGTATAAATACACAGAAGAAATTTTTGGTGGTAATAATCATAAACATAATGATAATGATAATGATGATAAATTTGCGTCAAGTAAAAATCAAAAAAGTCATTGGTAATGGAAATGAAGTAGAAATGGTAGAAGTACAGATTGTTTCAGATGTGATAATCAAAAAGTACTCAAGAAAGTGATAAAAATGATACAAAACATTAAGAATGACAAATGATGATACTCTGACAGTGATAATGATCTTATTTTAATCAGCAAGTCTAAGAATAAAAAAAACCATTTACCAACAAAAGAGCAATTAGAAAGTTAGCAATAAGGTAAAGAAACAATTTAGATAGAGAGGTGATATGTGATACAAAAAAGAAAAAGTGAAGCAAGCAAACTCAAATTGGTGTTTGAAATAGAACAATTTCAATTGGTAAATTTAAAGAATTGGAGTTACAACAAAAAATCCTTACTAAAATAATTTCTTATGTTTTTAATATTAATAAAAAATAAATAAATTAAAAACACATGTCAATAATTACTTAAAGCTGGCAGCAACTTTTGATGCATTCTCTGTTCTAAGAATGGAGAACAGCAGATTTTAAGAAATAATTTGATTTCCTTTAACTAAAGGAATATTGATGCAAATTGTGTGTATAACACATTAGTATATCTATTGCATGAATTACATTTATTGTACATTTAACCTAGACAATTGTAAGAAGCCCAGCAATGATAAGTGATCCAAATTACCTAGTCATTTGCCTGGCTAGCTATAATCTTAGCAATCAAACTTTTATAATTATAAAAGATTAAAATAAGATTTGTCTTTTTTTGATATGGATCTAGAAAGATAATTATTGATGAAAGATTGAATCTATACATTATTATTAGAAGTCGATGGATGTATAATTGAAGAAGCTTGAATTTCTGATGATTATAATATTGCTGATAATGGTGTCAATGATTCATTTTCTAAGTAATATAAATATTTAAGTTAATTAATAATTAAAATTCTATTATTGGAATATTTCTTGATAATATTTCAAAGGATCAGAATGCATTGTAAATTATACAATCAATTTTTTGTAGCTGTAATTACATAAAAGTTTATTGACATTTTAGAAATCACATGACTTAACAAGAATCATTACTATATTTTGTGCACAAGGATCATTTATATTTAAAATAATAATGATTTATTAAACGATTATCATGATCATGCCAAGTTTTTGTATACATTGTTGTGCTAAAAAATCATCTTTATTCAGGAATTGTGATATTTTGCTTCCCAACCAGTCAAAACCTACGAGTTTTACAATCTATTTTCCATCTGAATCTAATTTTGCCATTATACTGTCAAAATGAATATCACAATGAACAAAATTATTATCATGCATCTTTTCACTACATCTAAAGTCTTTTATTCTTTAATTCAAAGATGGTTAAGAAAGTATTTTCTTGCTTTGTGTTCTTTTCTCAATATTATTTTGTTGATTTTTTAATCCAACTAATAAGTAACAGAATCCTACAAGTGATTTTTTGGCATTTTCTATATTATCTTTATTATCTCCAGACTTTTTAAATGATAAGAAGATGTGAACCAACTCATCAAAAAAACCTTTTAGCTCTGGCTCATGTTGCTCAATCATATTTTTGAAATTCTCTGGATCCAATTCAACATCTAAATTTAAGTTTCTTTGCCTTATGTATAAAAGATCAGATAGTAATTCAAATTTATTACGAAATTGATTTAAGTATCCTTTATTATTTTCCATACATGATGGCGAAAGTCATTTGATAAAATTCGAAACTTTCAAAAAAATCACACAAGTTTTCGAAATCGAAATACCCTTGGCAAAATTAAAATTGAAATTGAAATTCAAAAAATTGAAATAAAAGACATTAATGCAAAATTTATTAATTTTGATTTTTGAATTTTGATTACAAATTTTGATTTTGATTTTGATTTTTGATTTTGATTTCGAATTTTGATTTTTTTTGAAACCTGTTAGGGTATATTTGAAATGTTTGAACTATACATGCAGCCCAAATTGGTTTGGTGATTTTGATGGTCAAAATTATTCCAATTTTGATGGTAGAAGGTAGAAATTAATTACGGCATTCACTATGAAAAACATAAGTGTAACACCCCTTTACTACATGTGTAACCCCCTTTATGACAGTGTCAAAATACTTTGGGCTGCATGTATAGTTTGAACCTTAATCATTGAAATTATCATCGAAACAAAACTATTTCACCATCATGTATGATTAATGCAAAAATGAAAAAAAGTTAATTTATTGATTGAATTTTGATTTTTTTGAAACCTGTTAGGGTATATTCGAAATGTTTGAACCCTAATCATTGAAATTATTGTTGAAACAAAACTATTTTGCCATCATGTATGTTATTTTCATATTGATTAACCTTTATTTGCATTTCTTTTATTTTATTCATTGGGCAATCAAAGTTATTTCTAGATAACACTACATCATCTTGAACATCAACATCTATATTTGACCAATTGTCTAGATTTATTTGATTATCATTAATTAAATTTCCTAACAATTCAGATAATTTGAATTCAGTGTTATTAGTATCAACATCTTCTATAATGTCATCAATTTCAATAACATTATTATCATCTTCAAAATCTTATGATTTTCTTTTTTGATTATTTGATTTATTTCTTCTTGATTGTACAATTGATAAGTAATGTTTAGGACAAAGTTGATCATTAATTTCAAGGTAATTATAATCCTCATATGTGCCATGATTTTTAGCATTTTTTAAACCATCTTTGGTGAATCTTCTAAATATAACATCTTTTGCCTCACAATTTAAAACATTGCATGGGCCTAAATTTTTAGTAGTCATTTTATTGGTTATAAAAATATTATTTAAAAAAAATGGGGATTTAAAATAGTTTTTTTGTTTATTTTTTTTTTAATTTTTTAAATAAATTTTTATAAGTTAACATGTTATATATATATATATATATATATTAATATTATTTGTATTATTTGAGAATAAATTTTTAATCAGCTGTTTTTTTTATTTTTAGAATTTGTGTAATAATCTTCAAACCAATCAAAATTAGATTTTATGTGATAATTGGAAATAAGATCGACAAAAATCTGGCCAATGAAATAGTTGTTTTTGTGATCTGCAACAGTGTCTACTATGCTGACAATTGGTGGTCCAAATTTACTATCTCACAAATATGAACATGGGGCAAATAAAAAAGAAAAAAAAGGAACACTTATTATTAATTATATATTTTTTTGTCAAAAATTTTTTTAGTACAGCTCAAGTCATCTAAACCCAACCACTATAGCAAAATTTGGCAAAAATTTTTTCAAATCTTAGAATATTATTTCTGATTCAGGAAATAAAATTTCTTAAATAGAGAATGATCCTCTTCTAAAGAAAAAAATTAAAATTTGGGTAACAATCTATGGAAGAGGAGCATGATGGAAGTTTGATTTATCAAATTATCACTTTGTGATAATTTTGAAATTATGTTGTGTGACTATATAATTTTAAAGTAGATTTGTATATGTAAAATCATGTTTTCAATTGACAAAAAAATTATTTACACAATAATAAGCTTTATAATTATGTAAAATAGAAAAACAAATGTAAAAAAAATTCCCCTTGTTGATCATCTCAAATTAATGACACACTATTTTTAGTGTCACAACACTATAAACTCACATGACCCAAACAGTTAACAATAACATTCCTTCTGCAATAGCTAAACTCACTAGGATAACTATTAAAGAAAATGAACAATTATGTAAAATATACTGTATGTTTGCTATTTTTTAATTTAACATATGTTTTTTATTATAATCAGCACAACAAATTATAATTAATAAATTTTTGTTGAATGGTAAATAAAGAAAACCTTGGCATTTAATCAATGCCCCAAGTAATAATCATATGAAATCTAGGGTCTTCTGAAGCAATAATTCATGATGCGGGGCATAATAATAATTCGTGATTCAAAACATAATTTGTGATACAAGATATATAGTTTGTGACATGAAGCATAGTTTGTTAGTTCTTATTATAATAATAAAGGAAGACCCTAATTGTAATCAGCAAGAATTATTGGGGTGCTAGATATTAGTATAATCACAAACATAGGGGAAATCAAATAATAAAATCAAATAGTAAGGATTTTTGTCAATCATTTTTATAATAATTAACAAATGAGAAATTACTATTTATCAATTAAGAAAAATCACCTTTACAGAAATTTTTATAACTCAACATACAGATGGGTTTTTCCAATTCTGAAAAGTGTTTTGTATTCCCAAAATATGTGTTTACAATGTAACAATGCTATTTTTTTGCAAATACTTGTAACATTGATGTGTTTGCATATTACTAAATGTAATTTTTGTCAAAATTCTAGATGTTTATTAACACAATTTCTAAAAATTTATTGTAAACA